ACAGAGCATTTACTTAAATATTTGTATCTATAAAAAGAACGTATAAACATAAAAAATCTCCTTAATATATATATATATATATATATATATATATATATATATATATATGTGTGTGTAAGCAAATATATGGATATAGATCCGACAGTATGAAGAAAAATATACAAAAAAAAAATCTTAATATTCAATTATGCTGTAATAATGTTAATATATGTTAATATAACGCTGATCTTATATAAAAATTTCAGTTATCTGTTTGGATTAGTTGTGCTCTTATGTCCATCGTCTTTTCGTGTTGAATTTTTATATGTTCTAATGTTAATTATGTTTAAATGAAAATGTCCTGAAGATGGTCTAAAATAGACCGAAACGTCCGACGTTGACTTTATATTAACATTAATACAGCATAATTGCATATTAAGATTTTTGTTTGTTTTTTTCTGTATATTTTTCTTCATATATATATATATGGATAATAAGTGCAACATTACTGTAATTATTGAACAATATAGTTAATGCCACTTTGACAGAAAATTTACCAGTAAAAAAGAATTCGCCTATCACCATATTTGTACAAGAACGCACAATTGTAAAATTTAAAATCAAACTCAGCGTTGCTACTGCACGCTCCAAAAACAATAACTCATTTCTAATAGCATTTTTCGGATACAACAATGCATACATTTTCGTTGTCCTCTTATTACTGAGAGAAAAAACAAGAACAACATCTATTCCATACCTGAAGATGTCTGTAGGAACAGACGAAAGCTTGTAGTAAAAATAAGAACTAATGCAACAGAAATTTATAAAAACAAGGATCTTTTCATTCATAACAGGTTCGGGGTTTTTGTATATTATTTGAATTGTTCGCGACGATGGATTTCTCGCCAATTAAATCATTAACTTTTGTATTTGTTTTTGTATGAATAATTCATGAATTTGTATATATATATATATATATATATGTATGTTATATATATATATATATATATATATATATATATATATATATATATATATATATATATATATATATTTGGAGTCAGATTTGGTATAGATTTGTTGGTGGGGAAAATCATCTTTATTCCTTAGACTTACCGAATCTTGAAGGCCATTAGCCGACTATATCTTTGTTGTCGACTTTCGAGCGTTATTTCCGGGTGTGGACCCAACCGCCGACAACGATTCAATGTTGTATCGATCCGATTGAATCTTGTGTTGTGTGGTTCAATCTAGTATATCTGAACGTGTAATATGATTGAATAGATGCATCAATAACAACCCGAGAAGACGAGGTAGGCGGCGTCGAAAGAGAGGGAAAGAAGAGACACCAACTCTTACTACAATAAGTACAACATCAAAGACGACAAGGTCCATAATAAAAATAAAAGAAAGAAAAGCACAGTAGAAGACAATGAGAACAGCTTTGATTTTAGTCGGAAAAACTAAAAGGAATTTACAAAAGGGAAGGAAATGAAGACGTCGTCGTCATTGAATAGTGACCGGGAAAAGGAAATCCCTGGAAAATACGGCGAAAGGAAAGGGAAGTAAAGGGTGCCGGTGAATATAATAATGTTGGTGTTATTGTTGGTAATGTTATTAGTCGTAGTATTAATAAGAACGGCAGTTCCTATGCCATTAATATAAAGAAATGGGAAGAAAAGGATAAAGGGTATAATTAAAGAAGAATAAAAGAAAGAAACAAACAAATAATCGCTGGATATACGTATGAAAATAGGGACATTTAGAAAGAAAGAAAGAAAAAAAGAAAGAAAGAAAGAAAGAAAGCAAAAAGAAACAAAGAAAGAAACAAACAAACAAAGAAACAAACAAACAAAGAAGAGGAGAAGGAAAAAAGAAAATAAGTGTGGAGTTGGGGTAGAAAAGAAAGTTTCAAATGCATAAAGAAAGAAAGAAAGAAAGAAAGAAAGAAAGAAAATATGGGTGGTGTTGGGCAGAAAAAGATTTTGAAAATAATTAAATAAATAAATACATAAATGAAGAAGGGGGGAGAGAAAAATGTGCCTGGAGTTGGACATGAAGATATTATTATTATTAGAAAGAAAGAAAGAAAGAAAGAAAGAAAGAAAATATGGGTAAAGTTGGACAGACAAAGATTATTTGAAAGAAAGAAAGAAAGAAAGAAAGAAAGAAAGAAAGAAAGAAAGAAAGAAAGAAAGAATAGACAAACAGGAGAAAAAAGAATGAGTAAATTTGATGATGAAGAAAAGACTAGTAAGCTGAAAAAATCGAAGAAAAGTTTTATAGTGGAACACACCTATTCTACAGTTAATAGATTCTCCCACCTATAATAAGTAGGAGTAGTAGGAGTAACAAGTCAGGCGGAGAGGGTTGGTCAGTCAGTCGATATCGGACGACCGTTAGTCGGATATTAAAGTATCAGCCACCATACCTAGTTTACTGCGTCATTACCTATTATATCAAGTTCCTCACGTTTTGTACGTCGAACCTATTTTAGGACCGACTTAGTACAAATACAAGC